AGCCAGGGGTGGAATTAATTTTACATTCGAGTCCAAATAGTATTATTAAAGAAAAAGATTTTCTACTGATAGTTGAGAATCTTTTGTATTATTTTCGCACTACGACTACAAGATTACACATTTAACTCATCATTTGTGAGCACTTTTGGCCTGCATGTCTATCTACTTATCATCTGTCTGTTTTTCTGTCTCTGAATCTGTCTGTGCATCTGTCTTTTCGTGTCTCTGATTTTGTCTTCCTATTTACTTGTCTCTCCGTCCCTTCGAGTCTCTGGATTTCTCTCTCTTCTTGTTTATCTACCTGTGTCTGTCTGTCTGTCTGAGCTGTGCTGTGTTGTGCTGGGCTGTATTTGCGTTGATACTATGCTATTACATTTCTGTTTCCTTTTCAAACCTCGACCTTCTTCTTTGATCATACTTCAGGACGAAGTTTTTCACCTCTGGAGTAGGCAAATTTTGTTCAAAGTGTAAAGTTAAGTAGAACCTTTAATCAAACCAGTGCCAATAACAGATTGATTGAAAGATATTTTACGGCACTATCGAATCCGCTTTGGTCATAAAAATCCAGCACTAAGCAACCTTTGAGAGAGAAAAAAAATCCGAAAACGTCATAGTTTTCTTCCTCTCCACAGGTGTACTTTTTCACCTGGCCTCGGTCCATGTTCTACGACATCTCCAGCTGCACCACCGTCCTGGTCTCCCTGGAGCGATGTCTCTGCGTGGTGCTGCCTCTCAAGGTCAACTCTTTACTCACCCCAAGACGTGTAAAGATGCTTTTGTTCCTCGTCTGGGGTGTGGGTTTAGCCACGTACATTCCTGTGTTCTCCTCACAGTTTTTGGTCTGGAAGTCGGACCTTGCCACCAACATGACTGTTCTGACGGTTGGGATCACGAGCTACCGGTTGAAAGTAGAAACAGCTCATAACATCATCAACACGTTATTTCTACAAACTGTTTGTCAGGTCACGGTGGTTGTGAACACTGTTGTAATGACCTCGGGCCTCAATCGTTCTAAGAAATTCCAGAAGCATTCCGGGAATATGCGTACAGCGGAGACGTCCGAAGTATCATCTCCAGCTGCTGGACAAAACGATGGTGAACCACCACCACCTGTCCACGTCAGTCGTTTACACAGAGAACTTCGTCAGGGCCACAAAACGACTGGAGAGTCACACGAGTTGAAGGGAGAGGGTAAGGTTGCGAAAAAAGGAAAAGTTAGTGGGACCTCCGCAAAATACAAGAGAACAATTAAAGTTGTAAGCGGTGTGTCATGTCTTTTCATCATTTGCAATACGCCGCTCTTGGTCGCCGTGTACATGAAAAACCTGGCTCCGGGCTACGATTTTGGACAAAAGCACCAATACGAGTTTTTACTTACTCTCGACATTGTTTTTCTCACCACAGCTGTCAATGCTGCGTCAAACTTTATGGTCTACACTGTGTTCAACAAAAAATTCAGGGACGACTTACTGAGACTCTGCGGTGGGGAAATGAAGTCTTAGGGTTTAAAGTTATTTGTATGTGGCGTCTTATTTGCATAGAAGGGGAAGGGGGGCAGTTTGTTTTCGTTCTTTGTTGGGTTTTTTCGGGTGTTGGTCTGCTCTTAAAAATAGAGAGAAAGACATCGACGAAAGAGCTATTTCTCTTCGTGCAAGGAAAGGCAAGACTAATACGTGCAGACAGTAAAACAGAAGGAGAATAAACAAAAAGTTAACGCCCTCCAACCACCAATGAAAGTTTTGTAATTCATCATTGGGGACTTTAGAACTTTTAAAACTCTTCTCTGCAAGTATTCAATAACTACTCCGGCACCTGTCCTTACGTTGCAATTTTGCAGTAATTATGCTGCTCACAGTTAGCCATCGCACATGTAGTATCCCTCACATTATCTCCATTTTTCTGCTCAGAAAGACTTAATGTCTTTGACCAAATAACCCCAATATCTACACATAGGATAGAGTATGTTAATGTTACAACTAAAAGACAAGAGCCCTACGCTCTTCGATGACGTCAAAGCAAAATTTAGAGTGCACGACAAATAATAATTATTGGTTACAAAATTATGACATAAGGGCTAGTGGCTATACTAAAATTAGTGTCTTCAGCGGTACAAGAGAGTTGGTTTTGTTTGATTCATGCTCAACATCCCAAATTTTCTCATTTCATTACTTATGTAAATTAAAGCAGATGAACGCCTGAATTTAATAACATTTTTTTTCTTTGTTACTGAAACTAGACTCGTTCGATAAAAATGCCCTCGTACAATCCTCCAAATCAACAAGTGAGTGCTTCTATTGCAGTATTAAAGTAGAGGAGCGAAGAAAACAGGCATTGTTAGTTTTGGTTTGGTTTGGTTTTGTTGGTGTGTTAGGGGTAAAGGGGTATTGGGGGGTGTGTTGGGGGGGGGGGGTATCAAAATCAGAAAGAAGCACCTGTGACATCTGGGTTCACGAAGCGACTATCCAGCGAGACTGTCAAGACAACTTACATATGAAATAACATTTGGCAAAGGGGGGTGGTTCAAGATTGAAGATCTCGATCTATGCATTCCTTACTTTATCGCGGGACAGAGAACAATCAAAAACAGGTGCAAACAAGTTCACTGTCTTCATTTCCGTGCGTGTGTATGTGGGGGGGGGGGGGGTTGTAGGGAGGAGTGGCTGTTGTTGAGTTCACAACAAAGGCTAATTTGGAGGCAGCTTTCGCTTATGGGAAGCTTGTCCAACAGGAAGAGCTTCAAAGGTGGTCAAGAATAATTAAGAATAATTCGGACTCCGTTTGGATGTGAACACAGAATGGCCCTGGGTTGACCAAGTACCTGGCCAACCGGGTCACGAGCTTAGACTGCACTGTGGGTTCTCGTAATAAAGCTGTTCCCGCATCCGATCCGAACATTGGGGATTGCCTTGTTAGTGAGACAACTGTCTGGGTCTTCGGCATATTGTGGTAGGGTGGCCAGTTCCTTTCCACTTCGCCTTTACTTCCCCTACTCGAAGTCAGGTACCCATTACTGCTGGGTGAGGAGGAGGGGGCGAAAAAAAATCCGTGTCCGAACCGAGGCTCGAAACCGAACTTTCCGCTTTGGGGACGAGCGCACTAACCGCTCCGCAACCGCACCCTACAACTAGATCTATAATATTATAGAAAGCAAGGAGGAAGCAAGGAGATTCAGAAACAGAAATTTTGAAAATTCGAACTACAGTGAAAACCATATATAACAGGCCCGGTAATAACAGGGATCCGGTAATAACAGGGATTTTTTAAATCCCCGATTTTTCCTACTCTTTGTCTCTATTAAAAGTTATTGGCAATAACAGGGCCACATCAGATCCCAACCGGTTATAGCAGGGACAAAGGCTCGTTAACAATGTGTAAAAAGTAAGAGAGAGAGAGAGAGAGAGAGAGAGAGAGAGAGAGAGAGAGAGAGAGAGAGAGAGAGAGAAAGAGAAAGCGAGAGAGAGAGAGAGAGAGAGAGAGAGAGAGAGAGAGAGAGTAAGGCAGTGATGGAGCAAGGCCATGCAAGCCATGCCAATGCAAGCACACGCAGCGTGTGAAGCGAGAGAAGGCTGCGGTGTGCTGCAGACTTCGATCTATCCCGAAACCTAGCAACACAAACGAGTAATGTGTCTACTGCCACCAACGAGGTCAAGCGCAAGAGAAAATGCCTTTCAATTGACAAAAAATACGAAGTAATCCAGGCTGTTGACAAAAAAGCAAGCTCCACTGGCAGAGATTTGTCGTTAGTTCGACATTCCACAAGGGTCGATTGACACCGTTATCAAGGATAGAGAGAAGAGAGTGGCAGCATACTCCAATGGAAAGTTTGCTCCGGATCAAAAGAAGATGAGACTACCCGATGCAGATGCTGTGGACCTAGCTCTTCTGACGTGGTTTAAGGAGGCAAGGAGAAAGTTGGTGCCAAAACCCCTGTTCGTGGGTACTTGTGGCAAAGGAAACTACTACCCGTGAATAAGTACAGCTGGATTAGTCCACAAATGCTTACTTTCCTTGCATTTCTAATTTAACAGGGATCGGATATAACAGGACATTTTCTCTACTCCCACCATCCCTGTTATATCAGGTTTCCACTGTACTTTTTAAGAGAAAAACGGTCTGTGTTAATAGAACTGTAAAGTATATTATGGATTCGCATTTTTCCACATTGTACATGTTTCAACAGAGTAAGGTTATGAGGGATCTCCAAAGTTAACATATCCCATAGAAGGAATAGGAATGAGCCATGTGGGTAAAAAGCCTTAAAAACTCCTCTAAACAACTCAAGTTTAGAAGGCACTGTTGAGGATTCGAATCAGGGACATCGCCTCCGTAGTCCAGCCAAAGATAGTAGCCTACATAACAAGATGGGCCACTCAGCCAAAAATGTGTCCACCGGAAGTTCGCTCTTTGCTTCAGATGGCGCTGCAGTCTGTTTTGAATTTGAAGCTCTCTTTCGTTTTTCCAGAAGAAGAATAGGAATAGCACCTCCTTGCGTGCGCAGATCGACTGCTGTTCATCAGCAGTTCGGGTTCGTTCAGTGTGGAGTTTTAGTTCTTTTTAATTGTATTGACCTCTCGCCTTTCATTCTCAAGTCAAATTAAATGAAGAAAACAATCACCCTTTCCTCCAGAAGAAGTTTTTTTTGTCAGCGTAACCATTTTAAAAAAGCGTTCTTCCGAAATGTATTCAAAAACTTGCTAGTTTCACTTTGATTTTTTTAACTCAAGTAGGGTAACTCTGTTCGCGAAGGGTGTGCATTTGCGAAGAGGGCGCCACCGAATTTTGAGGACACTTTTTTAATTGGCTCAAAGAGAGAAGTGGCCCCTCTTGTTATGTAGACTCTTTGGTCTAGCATGATGTCAACTGAGCAAATGGTGCCCCTGATAATACTAATAATAATAATATGGATTCGACGTTCCAGTAAACGTTGTCAAGGTTTTTTTTAGAAGATATACATGTATAAGTTATCTGCATACTCAGAGTTCAGGACTGAAAGATGTGAAATATCTATGAACATCATTAACAGGTTACTTGTCTCGTCTAATCATCAGGGGTTTGTCGTTTGTTGTTTTTGCTTTTTTTTTTTGGGGGGGGGGGGTTATCACCCTTTATTTTTGACACATTTTTATTTGTCTATGCAGTACATGTACAAGTAGGCCTACTCCAAAGCACTCATCGTTATGGTAGCACGACTCCTGATTGAGGTCCAAAAATGGCAGTCACTTATGGGAACTCTTATCTGTCAAAGAATTACGGCAGAGGCTTATATGTATTGTAAAGAGAACGAGAAAAAACGAAAGAGAAAGGTCTGGTGGGAGTGAGCAGGATGCATCTTGTTGTTGTTGCTGTTGTTGTTGTTGTTGTTATCGATCCAGCAACAGCTGGACTCTCGTCCTTCTGTCCAATGCCATGTAGTGATAAGTGCAGATTTGTTGCTGTTGTTGTAATGTTCCGTAGAGTGTGTTGTCAATGTTAGGTCTCGGACGGAGAAGTGTAGCTCTCATGCCTTTTAGGACTGTACAGTGGAAAAGGTGATGATCCAGTCTCATATGCATAGTCACACAAAGGACACATAGGTGAAAGTTCTGGTTTTATTCTGTTCAAATGAAAGTTGAGGAGTATATGTTCTGTTCGAAGGCGGAAGATCGTGGTCTGTTTCTTTCTCTGTAGATGGTTGATATTGTCATTTCACTTTGTTGTGGTCATATGTTTGTCTTGCCTGTCTTTCCCAACGCTCACCTGTTCATCCAATCTTGTTTGCTGTTGCTTTTAATTATTTGTTTTGCAGTGTTGTATGAAGTTGGAATGCTGGGTTGTTCCTGTCTAGATCCCCTTTTGGCGAGTGTGTCTTGTCTGGTCCGCTCTGTCATTTCCAGGTAGGTTTAAGTGTCCGGGAATCCACTGCGTCACCAGGTCGACGCCACATGATGTTATCAGGTGATGGGTGCCAAACAGTAAGCCGAACCGTATGTGTCAAGTCTTCGTGTATATGATGGTCATTTTCTATCGCTTGCAAGACTGATAGTGATTCAGTGAAAACCACTATACTCGTTTTGTTTGGACGAGTGTCAAAAACTGGACGGAGATGGTATAGTGCTGTTTCAATTGACATCATTTCTGCATTGTAGTCGTTGCATTTCTCTCCACAGGCTGCAGATATCTTATTGGAACTTCCATCTGCGTACTGTATTAGTATTAGCATGAAACGGGTGTGTGAGAGGGACAGAGAGAGAGAGAGAGAGAGAGAGAGAGAGAGAGAGAGAGAGAGAGAGAGACAGAGAGAGAGAAGAGGAGGAGGACAGACAGACGGAAACAAGGGGGACGAAATGAAGAGAGAGGGGAGAGAGAGTGTGTGTGTGTGTGGGGGGGGGGGGGGTGACGAAATGGATTAATTTTATATTGTCTACATAATACATCTTGTATCAAGAAGTCAGGCAAAATCCCGACAATTTCACAAATCCTAACTTCCAGATTCATTCTGAAAATCGACACCTCATGAGATATT